CACGCCATAGCCCGCACAGCTCGCGGAGATGACAACAACAACAACAACACTCACCTCTTTTCCTTACTATCGGTTAACAAATTCAAACGTTTCCTCTTAATTTCTTTACAAAACACATGGTAAAGGCTTCATTGTCTATTGCTGAGTTATGGATGCACTCAGGAGACTCAGGATTGCTAAGCTCACAACAACTCGAGGAATTACGAATATTTTATTGACGTCATCAGCGTGCTCAATAGGAATATGAAGCACGCTCGCGCTATTGAATTTGATTAGGCGAATTTTCTAGTTATGTTATAATTATATCTTATTAATATTCATTAGACTTTGTGCATAGTATACCACAGGCGACCCAGACGTAGCATGTGTCACTGAATGAATATATTAATATTCACATGGACAAATTAATGCGATGAGTCGTCGAAATTCCCATGAACTAAAATAGTCCAAAAGTCAAGTCGCCCTGTTAAAAACTTACGGATGGTCGCGCGATCGCCTTTTGTTTTCTGGTCAAAAATAACGCAGCGAACCTTCGGTCAGCGTTGATTGACCTAGAAGCAATAGTACCATCCCTCCCATAGCAAGTGCCGCATTGTTGCGCGAACGCGGTCGCTAAGCTTGAATATTCACGTCGCGTATTAAACCTGGTCGTTTGCGGTCATATCGAAGCGTAAAGGTCAACAGTGATTGTTGATGAGCGAGCAATTATTGTGCAGTTGCGATGGGTCTTGTGGAGCCAGCGAGCAAGAAGCAGGAGCACACGTTACCTGCAGATTAGCCGATGGCAATTTGGAGCGGATTCGTCGAATATTCTCCATTTTATAGCGCTTCGTGTGAAGGCGCGTGGAGATGGTCCGTTTGTTTTGTAGCCAGCCTTTAATTCTTCTTTAGTGGATAGTACCTACAATTGCAAAACTCAACAAAATGCCACTTAAACCGGCCAGGAAAGACAAGGATACGTTCAGTTGAAGGTATCTTAGCTTTATTTTGTTCTATTTTGACTTTTGCACTATTTTAGTTCATGGGAATTTCGACGACTCATCGCATTAATTTGTCCATGTGAATATTAATATATTCATTCAGTGACACATACTACGTCTGGGCCGCCTCTGAAGTCAATGGAAGATTTTGACAATCTAAAAGGAACACTGGATCATGAATTAACTTTAGTTAAAACTAAGTATATCTAATTAAGTAGATGATTAACTACATAGCCCTTTTCTTATATACCTTCTTTAATTTTTTGTATTTATGTTTAAGACATAATAATAGCTTTCTGCTTTCCATTGACTTGAGGGAAAACTTAAGGCATCTGCCTCATTATAATTACAAAGGTACTCCCTTCCGTTCATGGTCAATTTAACAACCTCTTAAGTGATTTAGATATATCAATTATGTGCAGATTTAGCCAGAGCTAAAAGCGAAGCCCCCGTTTATGCATTCTAAATTTACTTCAGACAATGGACTTATTGCAAAGAAATCCACAAATCTATGCTTGACGTTAGGGTAAAATCATATGAACTTTAAAAAACATGTGACCTCTATGAGTTGGCACCTGAGTCCACGATACGGTCGTGTGACTCTGGTCAGCGGATACGCTATTTTGGCAGCTGTCAATTGATCGTAATATGGATGTCTATTATCAAGTTAAACACAGGTTACAGGCTCCCACACTAGGTACAAGATTTTGACATTACACATTGGTTTCCCTGTAATGCGGATGGACAGGCGGTCGGTCACGTGATTACCAAAATTTCTCGGATGGAAAGATTACCAAATGTTCTTAGGTATACTACAAGCACATAATTATTGACCCCGATTTAAATTTCTTAGAGCTTAGTGAGCGATCTAAATACTTTTTTCGTCACGGCTTTGCTGAGACTAAAAACACCCTAGCTGCCTTACTTTTCTTCCTTGTTATATAACAAGTCTTAAAGGTAATTTCGAGCGTTGCCAGCAACATGTGCTATACGATCCGAAGATTAATTTCAGAAAACAAACTTGGCGACGGTACCTGCAGTGAATATATTCCAAGCTTGCCAAATTATTGTTTCAAATATGTGCCAACAGCTCTTGCAGCAGGAGGTGTTGGTAAGTTCATAAGCAATGAATTACAATATAATGTACTCGAGCGTACTTCTAGCACCTCATTTCAAGCCCTTTGGATCGCAATTAATGAACCAAATAGGAAGAAAAATGTTGTTGTTTGGTCTATAGACAGCACTTTACTCCTTGAGAAACAGACATATTTACCTGATTGGTAACTTCAACATTGATTGGTTTAAATTCGAAGGTTGTACTTATCACAAAAACAATTACTCCAAATAACGCAAAGATTATCCCTTTTAGACAAGGAACTTTACTCCACTCTGTCTCTCTTCACCCAAGTGTATAAATGGGTATCGGCGACATACTGCTGGGGGATAACACCGCGATGGACTAGCATCCCGTCCAGGGGGGAGTAGCAACACTCCTAGGCATGCTTCATGCTGCGAAAACCGATATAAACTCCGGCCGTTTGGGCCTTTAAATGTAGTTTCTCAATATCTTCAAAGAGGTCTATAGAGCAGCTTCCCCAGACAGATATACAGTACGTATTATTTGGCAGAATCATTTTATAGTAAATATCTTCAAGTTGTGTAACAGATTTATAAAGCTTATCAAATTATATGGCGAGGTATTTTCTGCCCCCTCAATGTTGGTTTTTACGAGTTGGCATGTCAGAGGCAAAAAAATCAACACTGGAATACTTGACTCATTTGTCCTTTAAAGAAGGGTCGAGCCATTTTTTGCACAGCAAAGCTGAATTTGTTTGCTTTTCATAAGAGCTGTTGTATTCTAGGTTTCAAATGATCATTGATCATTATTCTCTCTAAATAATTAATTAACGCATTGTGGAACAACCAGTAAAATACTCCGCCGTCCTTAGGGACACATCAGTGCACTGCTGGCTCCCCTTACTGCGTTGGAGGTACGAGAACGCAACTCCTAATTTGTGATGGGTGTTCTGTGCATTATTGGGTTTCCCGTGCAATTAATAAGGGAGGTTTTTTCGAGATTGCATTTGTCGTCGTCGTCGACACACATTTGCCTCGCTTTAAGGCGCTTGCTTACGTTTTGCCTCACTTTGACGAACTAAATCATGGGGTGATTCGTGCGCATTCAAGCGTTTGCTGAGGTCTTGTATTCTGTCTTCGTAAAGCGTTCATCTTTTAAACGTTTGCTGAATCTTCGTAAAGCGTACATATTTCAAGAGTTTGCTGAAGGTCTACTATCGATCTGTGTTGGCTGAATCTTTCAAAACGTTCATCTTTCAAAAGTTTCGGCGGTCGTTGTGCCACAAAGTAAATCTACCGAGTTGTGTAGCTCGGCGGCCATTACGCCACAAATTAAATCTAGCTGGGCGGCCGTTGTGCCACAAAGTAAATCTACCGAGATGTGAAGCTTGGCGGCACCGTTTGATCATGACTTGTGATATTTTCGGCACCGGACAAACGAACATTTTAGGTCTATGTTATTTATTCGGAAAAACCTTGTAAACAGCCCACAGTAGCTCCACTCAAGTCACTGAAATTAACCCACTCGACCTTATTACTGCACTTATTGAGACGGACCATACGATGTAACTAGCCTTCAAGGCTTTTTCATAATGATACACAGTTTAAATAGAGGTTGCGCTGTAAGCAATCCTTACGTTTAAAATATGCTGTGATCAAATTAAAGCCCGGTTTCCATATCATCGCTACCATCGCTGTGATCGCTGCTGTCGCTGAGAAAAAAAAACTTCAGCGATCGCAGCGATCATATGAAACCACTCTCCAGCGATCGCAGCGACAACAATCCCTAATATCACTGCGATCGCTTAACTTTTTTTTCTCAGTGATCGCAGCGATCGTAGCGATTATATGGAAACCGGGCTTAATCTATCGCAATAACCATCCACCCTTCCTCCTCAACTGCTACCTGTACGCCTTACAAACATATCGAACGCACTCTTCTAAGCTCCGATTACTCCTAGTAAAATTAAAAGAATACACCACATGGCTTTGATTTCACTGTGTCACAGCGCTGACTGTCGAGATGACTTATCCATGTTCGCTTGTATTGGCTTGTCAACCAACACCAGCCCGCCTTCGATTCCTTGCACTTTCAGCTAGCGTCATTTGTTTCATTGGATTTCGGCTCTCTGGAATAGGCACGTGAAATGAGAAAATGTGGGCCAGTTATTCCTATCTGGCCAGCGGTTTACCAGCCAAGTCGCGAACTCGCAGAAGCAGCAGCTTTTATCTTGTTATTCCTTCTCATTTCAGCGAGACAGTTTGTTAACCTTGCAAAGAGTTCCCCACAGCTGTCTACTTCTGTTAAATTCCTGGATTTCATCTCCGATTCTGTATTGCAAGCCTTTCTAGTCCCACTAGATAAAAGGAGAAAACTAAAGCGCTGTGTGAGAAGCTCTTGGGATCATCTTCTGCACCTGTAAAGAGCTTGCAGCATTTCACACGAAAAGTACTATCATTTAATCTTGCAATCCCAGCCTGTAGGTTGTATGAACAGGAGGTGTTCAAAGCTATCACTCCTGTTGCCAAGAATTCGAAGATTTCTGTTCCAATTCAGAGACCTTTGTGATAGGAACTTCAGGAATGGACTTCCCTAGACAACTGCTCTGGCCACTTACCTTAGCGGTCGGAACATCATCTCTCTGTCACCATGTCCAGAAACGCCTCCCAGAGGGCCTGGGGAGCAGTCTTGGTAAAACATGGTCTAAGCCAGCAAATACGAGATTCTTGGATCAACCTTGAAGGTGATATCAATGCCCTTGAGGCCAGGGCTTTATGTAACGCTTTGAGCTCCTTTTCCCTTCTATCACAAATGCAAGAAACGATGTGTGGACAGAACATGACTCTCCGAGCAGCCTGGGAAAATGGAGGTTGTAGGAGCTCTCTCGTCGAAAAAGATAGAAGAAATGTCTTGAGCTGGAAACTTTGCTTTGCATTTGAAAAATGTCCCATCGAACAAAAATATTGCTAACGCGCCCTCCCATACTCTGTCTGACTTTGATTGTTCCTTGTCCGAGGAGGCATAGGCCCGACTTCAAGTGAGGTTTGGACCACACACGTTTGACTTGAGGTCTTTGGACAGCAACTGTCGCAGAGGAATGGAAGCTTGTTGCGTCATTACTCGCCTCGGCCGACTCCATATTCTTTAGGGGTTAATGTTTTTGCACAACCGATACCGATGGAACATAACATCTGCCTTTCCTTGTTTCGTTCTCATGAGACCGTTGTTGCGGTACTTTTTTGATCAATGCCAGCGTTTCGCTTTTACCGTCATTGTCCCTCATTTACACCCGCATCATTATTGGCGGGCAATACTCCAAGCTATTGCAGTGGATTATTTTCTTCTTGGGAGGAAAGGTGATCCGGCCGTATTGCGTTTCCCTCACCACACCTCCCCGGATTTCTTTGTTAGGCCCTTACAATAAGATCGGTGGGCTTTTCGTTGTATCTGCTCCTAGTTATGGAAGCCTGCCTGCAGATGTCCTCCCTACTCTTATCCAAACAACAATGACCGAACTTTTGCCAAGCCCCCGGTTAAAACCTATGTCACGTGAGCCAATGCAAATGCGGACATGCCATTGATCAACAAGTGTTTTACAAAATTCCAAGAATCATACAGGAACAAACCTCATGAACGGCAAAAGGATTCATTAGAAGTTCAGCTATCGAGTTTCTTACACTCTCTTGTACCCCCAAAGAAAGTTTTTGCTGCGACCACAGAAGACATTGTAAAGTTTTGATTAGCAAGGATGCCATGGGAAAACAAAAACTCCATGTACACTCAACAACCTGAAGCGTCTGGTGGCCACAACTGTTAATTCACATATAGGGGAGCTTAGGGTGATTTTCAATAGGTTAGGCCGTTCAGGGTTTTCTAACCCGCTGGCACATCCTTCTGTTAAAGAATATCTTAAGTTTGTAAGAGAGGAGCAAGCCCAGCAACCTTTACTACTTCATCAGGCTGTCCCTTTGTTCTATGACAAATTCACCAGTTTAATTGCCTGTCTTCGGAACATATGACGTTTGTGTCACATTGTCCGTTTGAAGGGTCAGCAGGGAATACCAAGGAGCGGATCTCTCTCCCATAACTTAGTTTCTCAACGTGTTAAGTGGTAAACAGTGAGGATATAGAACGTGCGCAAAATGTTGTCACATTAAGTGCTATATTTCGTGTCGTATAATTCATTTCTACGACAAGAAATGTGCCCAAGCCCTTGATAATATATACTCGCAGATTTTGAATAAATACACTTTTCTTGCTGGTTTATACAAGATAAGAAGAGTCCTTACATTGGCAACAAGAATCAAAGTAATGGTTTAAAATGGTGAAGAAACAGCGGCGGCAGTTCAATCTATCCAAGTGGTAACAGAGACGAGAAACCACGATACACAGCTGTTCGTGATCCCTGACGAAATGAACGCCTTGGGAAAAGCTTGACAGGAATGGCTGGAAGGCATTGAAAGAGAATTCAGATTCTTTAAGATTTCAGGGGCCGCGAAGAAGGATGTGATGATTATTTATAGCCGGTGCATTTCGATCAGTCTTGGCATACTAATAACGGTCTTTATCGTTACTCGAATTGTTGGTTTTTCGAGGTACTCTTAGAGTGCAATCGAATGCAAAATCCGAGAACGGATTTTAATGCTGAGATATCTGTTTTTGGATTTCCTTTTAACCGTTCAAATGGGAAATCCCAAAAAGGATTTGAAAAACTGTACTTAAGAAAAGCGGTCTCACATGCGCATGAATAATTAGCAGAAAGAAGACTGCTGTTCACGAGAATTAAGTTTTGCAAATCCTTTTTCGGATTTCCCAAGTGAACGGTCAAAAGGAAATCCGTGAAATCTGGATGTGGATTTGTTCATTGAAATCCACCCTGAGGAAGGATTTCTTGGAGGTGAAATCTGTTTTCAGATTACGCGTTTGATTGCAAAATCCGAGATCCGGAATTCAAAAACTAGATCTGGATAGCCCAATTGAACGCAACCTTAGACGTCAATTTTGAACAAGTCATTTGAGAATTGCCAGCAACTGCCTGACTTTGATTCAGTGGCATTTGTTTTAACTTAGTAAACCAGCCTTCAAAGTAAGTAATTAATAGTAGTCTGTGGAATATGTAATGCATTTTGTAGAGTCCTATTCAATGTGACGGTTTGTCTGTAAATGATGTTCAGCAATGTAATTGTTGAGATCACCCAAGCAGAGGAGCCTGGTCAACAGAGGATGCTGACTACACCCATCCAGAGGATCATTTCCACTTACTTATGACTGACTTGTTATTTATGAGTAACTATATTACTGTAAATAAAGTGCAAAATGAAGTACAATAATATAAACAATGCTCTTAGTAGCATTGAGTCTTGCTTGCTTAGATATAAGTTTTGTTGTCCAAGGCGCTTGTGTTATGCTACTTTTTCCTTTGGGATACAAAACGAGTGTTACATGTCATAACGTAAATACTCAGAACGTAAAAATTGCAAGGAGAGACAAGCCACACATCTTAGCCTCACACCGGTGTGAAAGCTTTGAAAACCGTCTACATACTGATATTGCTCCACTGAGGAGAACTCTTTCGGGGATTTTACACTCCAAAAATTGAACGATGATTTTTATCGGTATAAATATATAAAGCTTATTTGTAGCGGACCAAGATATGTAACATATACTTTAAGTTTAGCAGAACCTTATACAACAGACAGTTAATTCAGTTCGCACGTATTCCTATTGAATTTGTTGTCCGTTTTATAAGATATCAAAATCGCGTGAAAGTAATTACATTGTCCATGACTGCTTAGTATCTGCTTTTAATATCTCCGTACAGTCACTGAGTACAATGTCTACAGCTGTACACAGCGTGCATTTTGTCACAGTGTTACTGGGATAAAGCGTTTCATTTTCACTTTCTCGTCAAAACAATCACTGACTCAGTCAGACTCGGAGTAGTTTACTTACTTAAATTTAGTGTTCAGTACAGCGAACAGGTTTATGTTCTGTGAAATTTATCTACCGTCTGCGAAACACATCACCCCGATCCACAATTTATTTATTTTCAAGTTTTTTTCTAACCGATCCTCGAGCCTGGATCACCGATCCTGAAACCTGTTTTTTTCAGGAAACCTCGAAGTTTTGCTCATTAAGGTTATTCCTTTTATTCGACCACTGAAGTAATCACTTGTTCCAAAGTAATCAACGCTTTCAAGCAATAGAATTCATGGACCGACCTGTTTCAGAAAAGCTCGATATGCACATGAAGTGATGCAAGTAGAATGCGTGATAGTTAAGTACAAAGCTACTCATATAAACACATCCGTGACACATACGTAACTTCAGTTGGGGGTAGTTGAAGTTGCTTCCAGTAGTAGTCAAAGGTTAAATCCTTGATATCTCAAGTACTTATAATGTGCAATGCCACTTAATCTTAACAACTGTGAAATTCTACCGATTAAATACATACAACAAAGTGAATCTATTTAACTGTAAAGTTCCAGTAATTGTGACAATATTCTGAGAAACGTAAAGCCTCAATACACCACAAAACAGGATTTTCCCGCTATAATATTTAATCATCCTACTCATGGTATTTACATTTTAATACGCGTGCATGTCGTGCATAATTACACGAGATAAAGGACCTCAATTCAAGGATTCATTGCCAAACAGCAAAAACGTGATCAACTTACATGCGTCACTTCAGTCATAGCCAAAAAATAAACCGCATGCTCATCACGACTCATTTGCATACAGTGAAAGTCGTCACGATTCCTATCCCCAGTTTCCATGGTCTCTGTTAGGAACGCCTGCATTTTTAGAGTCTCGCTCTGCGAAGCTCGACTAACAAGTAAACATATCTACACTGCTGTAGCTAGGATAACTGTCAGCTGCAAAAGGGGGAGGAAAGACTGAATGAAGTCACCTAAAATGTTAGGAAGTGGTCTATATGGTTACATTTTTGGGTAAAGTTATTTGTTTGCTAATTCTGAGTAAAAAAGCTTACTGTCTTGTCTTCTTATCATCCACATTCAAAATGCTGCTTATGTCCACAGTCTGTCCACTCTGTAAATCCCTCATCTTGTTAGCTAGTGCTTCTGTGGCAATACTAGAAGAGCAGAAGGACAGTCATCACACTAAATGAAAATTATGTTCTAAAGAGCAGGCTTTTTAATGGGACACCTTTCTCTCTCGCAGAGGCTCCCGCTGGGTATCCCATTAAAAATAGCAATAATCGCAAAATAGAAAGCAACGGACGATGGGAAGAGGGAAAGGAGGGGCCATCTTTTCCTTTCTCCCCAGCCTCCCTACAACACAAAGAGGCCTCTGCGGAGGAGAGAGAAGGGATGCTCTTGTTCTTTTTTGCCGACAAAAAATATTATACAAAGGTAAGTTACTCATCGAAATTTCAGCTTCCAAAGAGCTTTCCAATTCTTGTCTAAAGTAGCCCGAAATTTGAGATCTGGAGGCTGCCATCTTGGAGAACTACTAGCAGCCTGGTGACGAGTACGTGACATCAATGTGCTTAACCTGAGATTGGTAGACAGATGAATTCACTCAAAATTTCCTTGTTCTTTGTTTTGGATTGTGTTTGTGGCCATGGCTTCTTGTGCAGGTCCAAAATGAAGAAACAAGAAGTTTTGAGTGACTTAACAAACTTAGGTTGAGCGCATTGACGTCACACACTCGTCACCAGGCTTCTACGAGTTCTCCAAGATGGCGGCTCCCAGATTTTGAATTTCGGGCTACCTTAGATGAAAATTTCATAGGGCTGGAAAGCCCTTTGGAAGTCAACATTTCTGTGAATAACCTACCTTTGTATAACCTTTTCGTGTGAATTTGGAATAAACTTCTCCTTTAATGAAAACTAATTTATGTCCTTAAATTATATGCTTTATAAAGCACTTATATAATTTTAGGGTTAGGGTTAGGGTTAGGCATGTGTGGCCGAGCGGCTAACACCTCGAACTCTGGATCTGGAGGTCCGGGGTTCACGCCGCGCCTGTCGCATTGTATCCTTACACAAGGAACTTTACTCCACTTTGTCTCTCTTCACCCAAGTGCATAACTGGGTAGCAGCGACTTACTGCTGGGAGTAACCCTGCGATGGACTAGCATCCTGTCCAGGGGGGAGTAGCAATACTCCAAGGCTTACTTCATGTTACAAAAACCGGAAATAAGCTCCGGCCATGTGGGCCTTTGGCTGGTGTGCACTTTTACGTTACCTTGTAATTAAATAAGAAATTTTATGTCATAATATCTGTCACTGCACTTCTTTTTCATTCTTGGTCATAGGATTAAAATACAGAAAGGCAGTTTCCTAACTAGTTTATCCAGCTAAAAAATGACGAAAATGGGTTTAGGTTACAAATACGTACCGTTGATAAGCTTGGGCAACAACCACCTTCTCACCTCCTTGAAGACAGGGAAGGCTTTCTGAACGTCGCCCGCATTTGCAATTTACAGACACCTAAAAAAATCAAAAAGTAAAATACAAAACTGAAGTGGGTGACTCTTTTTTAAAAACCTTAGACAATTTTTGTGTTTGCATTTTCCATAGATGCTAATATGCTTGGTGCAGCTTCTAGTCGTTTCTACAAAAATTGACTTGTCCTTAATAGGAAACACTTTCCAACAAATAATTATAAGTGCTGCAATTCACTGAGACTATTCACTGGGTTCGTACAGATTTTTGGATCCAAAATACAAGTCTTTTTCTCAACATAGCAAGTTTTCACAAGGCAATTCCCTAATTAGCCATATCGGGGAGCTCACTCCTCTAAACTGGAGCCGAGTACAGCGGAAGGTGGTCAGGCATAACGTTTCGAGCATCGCGCACAGTGCTCGGTCGCAAAAACACAGTGTATTATCAATATTCGTTACAAATTCATTAAGGAAACACGTCTAAGGTATATTTCAACCAAAAAGTAATTGCATTTGAAATAAAATCCGTCAAAAAGGCCATCCCGTAAAGTGAATACAACAGTACTCACTTGATTCAGTAAGGGAAAATTATCTTGTTCTTCTCTCT